TCTAATTCCGGCTGGGCCGTGTGACTGGCAGGGCCCCAGCTGCTGGGCCTGGACAGAGTTGTTTATAGAAAGGCCAGACTCTCCCAGGCCCACTGGCTATTTATAGACTGGGCCTGGAGGACTTGGTGCCCCAGCCAGCATTTGGCCCTGCAGAGCCTGTCAAACCCGGGAGGTGTCCCCTTGGTTCCCATCCAGGTCTCCCCAGAGAGGGCTCAGAGCCAGCGCTCCCCAGGGGTGGGCAGAGGGAAGCACCCCTCAGCTGACGTGACTCCTGGTGGGCATTCAAAGCCCAGTTTCTTTCATCTGGAAATAAGCAAAAAAGAAACCTCTGGAACCCTCTGGGGCCCTCCTGCTAAATCCAGCCCCTTCCCCATCCACACAGCCAGCTATTGTACCCCAAATTCTCTCCCACCCTGAAACCCCCAAGTCCTCGGCACAGTCCCTCCTGGACACCCCTCCTCAGCCTGTTTGGCCTTTGGCCTTCCTGCCCCTAATGCCCTCCTGCAGGGAGGAGGCTGCCTCCCAGGGCTGGGGGCCAGTGGGTGCCCACTCTGCCCCCCACCCTGCCACTGTCACCAGGAAGTCACAACGTTGATGCCAGCACCTAGTACTCTGCCTGTAACCCACATCGTGGCGTTTACCCCCAACAGTGCTGAGGGAGAGGAATTACTGATGTCGCCATGTGAGAAGAGGGGCTGGGGCACGGAGGGGCCAAGTGACCTGCCCAGGGTGACAGCGGGGCTCCCACATGGAGGGAGGGAGAGAGGAGCCCAGGAGAGGCGGTGGGCAGTTCTCCATGAGTAGCCTTTGTGTGACAAGCCCAGGGTCCACTCCCTTCTTCCTGGGGAGTGTCTTGTCTCCCTGTCTCCAGCCTAGGAGCGCAAGGAGCCTCCCCAAACCCTCGGCTCTTGCAGCCCTGGCCAGAGGTTAGTGGACCGGCTCCGGGCCCCTCTGCATGGACAGCCCCCAGGGATGGAAGGAGAGGCCCTGGTTCCAGCCCCCGGTGAGGGCCTAATAGGACACTGCTGTCCCCGGGGGACCCATCGCTGGCCCCTTCTCCCATGCCCAAGCCAGAGTGCGCTTGGGGGTGTGTGCGGGTGGGGTGGCCCAGGCAGTGCACCCAGCTGGGAACTTAGGAGCCCAGCCGACTGTCACACAGCCTGTCCCGACACCCAGTCCCTTCACAGGCTGGAGCAAGAAAGAGGTCTGGGGACCCCGGGCCCTGCGCATCCCTGGCTGCCCCCCTGCCCCGCCAGGTGCCCTGAGAGCTCGGACGCAGGGCCCTGAGGACCCAGGGCAGCCCGGCTCTCGGACCAGCCCGGGTGCTGGCGCCCGCGGCCCCACCGCGTGTCCCGTGCTGGACGCCTGGCTCCCGCGGGTGGCGGGGGCAGCTGTCCTCTCCTGCGCCAC